CTCTAGGTAATTACTGTATAATGGCTATGAGAAAATCTTTTAATATTATTTCGATCGTGTGAAACTGGTTTAATTCAAACGATAAACAAAATATAAGGCTATGATATCTTCGCCTTGTACGATATTAATTAACGTCGTGTATAGAACACTTAACACTTAACAAAGAACAATAAGTTATTTGGAAGTCATTCTAATATGGTTACGTAGTAATTGTAGTGTAATAAAAATAAGGTCGCATTATTAAACTTAGAGACATTTCCAAGTTTCTCATCAATATAACTACTACTAGCTTTCCGCCCGCAGCTTCACCCGCGTAAAGTTCGCTTATATCGCATTTTCAAGAGAACCTTTCAGGAGTCTGGAATAAAAACTATCCTATGTTCTTTCTCAAGGTCAACTCCATCTCTGTACCAAATTCCATTAAAACCAGTTCAGTGGTTTAGGAATGAAAGCGTAACAGGCAGACAGAGTTACTTTCGCATTTATAATATTAGTAGGGAAGTAAGGATACCAACGTCATATGCGAACATCTATATGAATAAAAAACTTCAAACTATACGTATTTATTCTGACGGAACACTTGGTAAGCTAATAATACTTAAATGACATTAATTGTATCATATAAACTAAATAATTCTACAGTCGCTCGCACTGTTATAGCCATGGGAACAATCAACACCGCTTGCCAAGCTTGTGTTTGCGTCTATAACAGAACGTCCACGCTGTTTAGACGAGTTACCCAACCGGGCTCAAGGTGGTGTATTGTATGACATAAATATTGCTAACAAAATATATATTAAATTGTAACGTTAGATCAAATTCATTATATGAAAAAAAAAACATAAAAAAATATGCAATGAATATACATAGTTATTTAATATACTATAAATTTGTAACATTAAAAGAATATATAAATCTATATATAATACATATTTCGATCGCTAATAAGAGAGTAATCCAATGCTCCTTATCAAAAGCAAACGTTTTCATATGCTTTTAGCATTATCAGGTTATTCACACATGATAAGCTATCAGATAGCGTCACGTCGCACTGTTTCGGCAGACGGCTCTGACTCACCTTACAGCTGAGATAAATCTCAGACAGTCGGCAATGTACTATTTTAGTACATCTCATTACTAACAAGCCATTGATTATATATATTGTAATCTCAGATATTCATCCAACTAATGATATTATAAATGAATAAGTTTCTGAGACTTGTACAAATATTTCTAAACAGAATTAAATGGAACTTTATGGTACACATGTAGTTTTGTTATCTAAGGGAGATATACATTATAATTTATACAGAAACTACCCCCAATTCCCGCGTTATCATAGTACGTAGTATGACGTCACGTGATATAGATTATAGATCTCGATGGAGTTCAATTAATATATTAATTCTTTTGTACAGATGTTTTATGCTCTTTCATACAAATAATACTGAACGGAATTAAATTAAACTTTATGGTATGTAGTTAAGAAATTAAAGGAAGGAATACACAATAATTTATCCTGAAACTACCCTTAATTCCCGCGTGATCATAGTATGTAGTATGATGTCACATGACACCGAATATAGATTTTACTGACAGTCAATTAATATATTAATTCTTTTTAAACAATATACACTCTGACTCTAGGTCCAACGCATATACAAAAGAAGGCATAGTCAAAAACTAGTGTTAAATGTGTAAAATCATACATGAACTTTTAAACTATTTTTCTCAGAGATATTTTGAGTATTTTATTTATTGCCATATACATTGCCATACGAGGGTTCCATATCAACATTTAAATAGAAGATTAAATGTGCATTTATATTGTTTGATGACCGGAACAACTTGTTAGATAGGCAGATAATTTTACCAGTGATAATAGAGCTTGTAGTCAGTACAGGGACACAATGAAACATTTAGTTAGAATGGTTTGTAATTTTTACATAGATTTATAATTTAAAGTGACTATGAAAAGGATATTTTAAAGTAAATATACAACTTATTAAACTTTACTATACATGTGTCTATAGTATTACTACAATAGGTACATAAAAATGTATAAAATAACAGTTTAAAAAAGCATTTTCAGTGTATTCTGTTAAATTATTGATGGAATATATGTAATGAAAGAATGAAGTTTAGTTTTACTTAAATACTATTCAAATTTTGGTTTGAAGCAATATTAATTATTCATTAATATACAAAGAAAAAATTATAAAATTAGGTACAAATATAACAAATGTTAATTTTATATACAGGGTGATTGGTGAATTACTATCAATATTTAAGGAGAATACTCGGTACATGATTCTCATTCGAATTATGTAAAAAAAATAGGCACTTAATTTTTGACAAAATTTCCGTATAAATAAATAAAGTGTTGACACATTCCAAGTGTGAGTGTGTGTGTATACCTAATCTGTAGGGTGTTCACACGATGCGTAATTAATTACATAACTTTTGTTTAACTTTACTTAGAAGTTTATTAATATTTATGTTATATTAATTTTTATTTTGTCATATATGATTGTCAAATATCACGTCCTCAAGTATCGATAGTAATTCACCAGTCACCCTGTATATTAAACAATACCAGTGGCGGCTGTACCTTAAGTGCGCTCGTGCGCTGAACCACCAATTCAAAAGATTTAAAAATTTCAAAATATTACTTCATCTTTATTTTTAAATTACCTAAAATCGTATAAAAAATTAAAAATCCGAATTATGGTCAAAAAGTTTGAGCGCTTTACTAAACTCTCGTGCGCTTCGGCGAGTGCACGAGGACTGCTAATACATCTTGTATGAGATACGAAATAATACTCCTGACGCGTGAAACAAAAGATAGTTCATAGAAATGTATCGAGTAACGAGTCGGTTCTCGAGCGCCGCACGAGCGACCGAAGATTACCGAGAGCACCCGATGTATGACGAATTGAGTCGGCCGGCCGCGGCATGTTTGACATCTCGTTATGTTTTGCTGATTTTTCTAATTTTAATATTTTAGTAAAGTGCACCACCAGTTTGATTACCCGCCAGCCGCCACTGAACAATACTAAAACTTAATGTCTTTAGTTAAATATATTATCTATATCTAATAAATATCTGTATAATGTCTGTTTGTTATATTAATATAACTGCTTTTTAATTAATAGTGATAGTTTTATTTTATTGTACATCATTTATATGTTTTTTCCAGTCAATACTGGTTGCAACTTTTTTCAATCAGAACTTCACTGCCAATATAATAAAATAAGATAATTATAAGATAACATTTAATTAAGTAATGTATTTATTTTTCAATACAAATAAAAAAAAATCTATAGATATATCTATCTATAGCGCATAGACAAAGTCATGGATATAGCCAATATTATGAATATGTATAGTATATTTTCTTAAAAATATTTCTATTTTAGATGGCAGAATATTTATAAGAATTAAAATTCTGTGTTATGATGTTGTTAAATGAAATGTTTTATAAATAAAACTTTCCTAGTATGTTGTCTGTTAATTTTTAGATAAACTTTTAAACAAACAAATCCGAACTCATTGTGTCGAAATCTCCTAACATGATGTATTTAAGAACTGTTCAAGGAATCCGTTTATTGACCTTATCATCACATAATTCTGTCTTTGCAATATTTATGATTGTTCATATAAATATTGCAAAGACAGAAATAATTCATTAGTATGTCATATATATCCATACTAATATTATAAATGGGAAAGTAACTGTCTGTCTGTCTGTTTGTCTGTTATGCTTTCACGGCTAAACCACTGAACTGATTTTAATGAAATTTGGTACAGAGATAGAGTTGAACTTGAGAAAGAACATAGGATACTTTTTATCCAAGACTTTTGAAAGGTTCTCTTGGAAACGCGATATAACCGAACTCCATGTGGGCGAAGCTGCAGGAGGAAAGCTAGTATAGTATATATATGGCAAACTAATTGAATAGATCAAAATAGTAAATTTAACCAAAGAATATTCCATTTTGTTATCCTCATACAGCTTTCAAATTGAATACAATGATAAGTCAACTCCTAATTATTATGTTCCCATACTAATATTACTACTGATTATGTCTTTGAGTTATAATTAAACAAATTGCCTGTAGTATTCTTCAAACATTCCTGCAGTTAATAGCTTAACATTTGTGAATAATGAATATGCATATTTTAGGCATAATTTTATGTTGAGTATCTTTTAAAATAAGGTAAATAGTTAGAGAATATAGAACCAAAGTTTTTTGTTAGTTTCTGTAATAAATATATATGTTTAACACTATATAGACAGACTACACTTATTGCCAATTAGCACAATTTACAAGTATGTAACAACAAAATCCATTCTTCACACTGAAACTATGTACAAGAGAATTATTTTCTAATAAGATGAATATTGTTATTGAAAATAGGACTATTTTAGATGTTTTTTCTAGTCTTATTTAAAGAGTAAACCTTAATTTTGATATTAGTATAATCTTCTTATGAAAATCTTTAGTAAAATTTCTTATATAAATGTATAAAAAAGCTTCACTTGTATCTATTTTCCCACACTCAACAACATCTGGCCCATCAATGTTAAATTATACAACATGGTGGTTAAAAAACAAACAAAAAATTACTCAGCTTTTGATAGGAAATAGTTATGATATCTTTATATTTAGGTTTAATTAAAATGTATTATTTTTGATTTGTTTAAAAACGTTATAAAAAAATTTCGTGAATAGGTAAAAGGATATAAAAAATATATATTTTAAATTACGGACTATATAATGTTCAGTTATTTTAAATCATACTTTCAGTAATAAATATATTTTAATTCATAAAACCCAGATGGAGGTTCATTAATTTCCATTTAAGGTCACGGAAGTTATCGTCGCAAGAGCCTTAGCGTCTCCGTATAATTTTTTAGACACACTTAAAATAATTATTGGTATTTGGCTTCGATACTAAGAAATTAAAAGACACGAACAGGTGTCAAGACGACTTACTGAGCTCATTTGATACTGAAGCCGACTCGCTCGTAAATGAACTGCTCCTCACGGTAGGACCCCATTGAGACCTCCGGCCATCCCTGGACTCTGTCCTCTCACCATCATCCGCTTTGCACAAGTGAACAGCAAATACGCACCAATATAATAGAAAACCGATACGCATTGTGATATCTCAATGACACAAAACTAATAAAACTGATAGCTATACACAACCGCTATATTGCACTCTATACACATTATAAAACTTTACAGGTAAAAAATATTCATATATTCTAGATGATCACATCGCACGAGCACAAAACATTTGTTAAACTTGAAACTACTGGAGTTATCACAGAAGAAAATTTTGTGAGGTCGTTTAGAATTTGACGTAGCCTTTTTTGTCACAACATCGGGCAACATTTTGTAACAGATTAAATAAAGAGCCAACACAACAGATTTTTTTATAGTCTATGACAAATAATGATTTTTAAATATTCCTATATTTTTGTACTTATTAATTTAATGCGATTTTGTAAGCTTACCCATTTTTTTTATATATTTATCAATATTTAAGTATTTTGTTTTCAATAATTATGAAAAGTGTCTGCATTAAAAGGGATGCTTTGTAACATTAGTCTTAGTTGAAAAATTTTATTTTTCACGTAAATTACTACTTATTTAATTAACAAATCATATAATCATAATAATAATTATACCATGAAAAGTAGATCAAATCAATAAAATATGTGACGTCATATGACGTGTGTTACCAAAATATGTCAAATGACCTTGCCAGTTTGTAAACAATTAGTTGTTCAATCTTAATATTTTGATATCATTTCCTATTTTATTATATCTCAATCTATATTTTGATTTCGTGCAGTGAACCAGGTAGTAAGCGTGCAAGTGAAAATGAATATAGATTTCGAGGCTATGGCTGTTTTAGAGGAGGAATCACAAAACGTAAGTTTATAAATCCCTTTGTAAGTTATATTTATTGATTTCAGAACTGCTTGTTTGTTTATTTTTATTAGCAAAAATCTGGCTTTTTAGTGAAATGCAAAAAGAATGATCATTTTCGTGCGTTAAAATATGTGAGGACTATATCTAATGTACTTCCTTATTCGTTTTGTTTTGACACCATTTCCTAGTCTAAATTGATTTCCGCCCATAGTTCCTTTGTTGGAGTATTGCACAATATGTTAGAGTTTTTACATCATTGTGTTAGATTACAAATAAATCAATAGTACTATTGAATATAAGTAAAATATTTTAGCGTTTTATGAAAAAAATAATTGTAATCTACAGTATTTAATCACTGATATCTTTATTTATTTTTTGTATGACTTATAATATCATTGACATACATTTCATATATGTACCTATTCATGATCGGAACAAATTATATATTACCTGTTATATAATTCATATACATATTATATACTTTTATATAAAAATAATATTTCGTTTTATACACAAACTAGCGTAAGTGGAACTAAGACTTCTTATAATTCAAGTCTCAATCAAGATTACTACATGATGAGAGAACGGTAAATAAATTTGTCAGTAAAAATATATTTTACTATAAAAATATTGCGTTTATAAAGATTTTAAAGCTTTTTATCTATAATAGATAAGATTATTTGATACTTCTAGAAAAATCAAGTATCAAAATTAATATTAAAATATAAACATGTTTTTCTCTCATCCTTTCTATATTCTTCTTCTTGTTCTTTCTGGCTATATCCCAGCTTCGGCCAGGGTTTGCCTTACATGTTGTACACAGTTTTTGGCTAATTGTTTTTACGACTGGCCGCCTGCCTGACATCAACCCTCTTTGGGAACTTTCTATATGGTAATGTACAAATGAAAAAAATCTCATCTGAAAATGTATACTATTAAATAATTCACAAAATCTTTTCTATCATCAGAAATCTTGAAGTTTATAAATTAAATCTTAAAATATCTTATTACATTGTCAAGTTTTTTTCTGTACTAATATATTTATTATTATTATAATCTTGACATTTTGGGTCCTTTACAACAAAGTGTAAATGAGATGAAAATAACATTTTACAATGCATAGTATTGTCGGAAAATCTAAGTTTCATTGAAGTGGGTACTCACAAAAATCTTAGATATCATTAAGTTACATTTTATTTCTTAAAGTATAGCTTAGAAGATACAAAAGAGAATAATTCATAAGGCACTTTGATATATCAGAATATATTCTCTTATAATCAATATCTTTGGTCAAGTAGAGTTAATTAATTTATACCAATATTAAATATATAAAGTTAATTACTTTAAACTTGAAAAAAATAACAATCAACCAATATAAAAACTTATATTAATTACATTTAATAGTAGAGAATTGATTTATATAATTATAAGAAGCATGTTTATTTAACAGAACTTCTTTGTTGGTATTGGGAAATACTATATATATACTTTTTTCTACAAAAAGCATGTATGGATTGTATAGGCTGTACACTTATATTATTATTAAGGACTGCTCATATATCAGACTTGATAACGTACCCAATGCAGCAAAACACTATTTAACTTGTATTTTACCCAAATTAGTTTCTATTCAGAAAACATATCGAATTTTATCATATTCATAATTCTTAAAGAATACAATCTTCTTTAAATAGAAATATTGATTTGTATAATTGTAAATGAAATTGAAATGGTTATTTCCAGTTATATACTATCTTTTATATTGTCAATTTGTCACCGCCATTAATGTCACTGTCTTATCAGTTTGACTTTTCATATTACGCGCCCTTAATTTCAATAATGATTTAATCTTATCTTATATCTTACTTTATATCTTTAAATGAGCAATTCTTGTGTATATATAATTGGAATCTCGGAATCGGCTCCAACGATTTTTATGAAATTTAGTGTATACTGAGAGTTTCGGGGGCGATAAATCGATCTAGCTAAAAATCATTTTTAGAAAATGTCAGTTTATGAAAAGTCCTGACATCTATTGGAGAATAATAATACTACTTTTTGCTTCTTCTTTTAACGACAGGAATTCAACGAGTGTTGGTTTTGAGTTAAGACTATAAGAAATTAATTGTTGATTTATATTGTTTTGTGTCTAAACGTGTTCACTTAAAAATACCTAAACTATCTTGGAAAAAAAACAATTTAAGTTCACCAAGCCACAACTCGTCTCAAAAACACTTAGAAGAGCACCGTCATCAAACTGATCAGGATTCTCAAACTTCTCACAGTAAAGGCTCATTACATAAAAAAAATAATCAGGTCTGCTCATCCCATTGTACTGCTAAAGTAAGACGCTTACAAAATTTGACTGACATTACACGAGCAGAAAGGTCTTATGATTAAAATGTTTCACGAGAGCGTACGGCTCATCGTGTAGCAAATAAAAATAACGAACAACGACAGTGACGTCTGCAAAATTTGCGGCAGCGTGCGGCACATAGTGTAACTACTGAAAATGAGGAACAATGTAAGCACAGATTAGAAGAACAAAGACGTCTAGACGGAAGACGACGTAGAGTTTTAGAACTTTATAATTGTTTGTCATTTGTTTGTGTTTTTATTATATTTAAATTTGTTGAAGGTGAGTATTTCAGTTGAGAAGCTACTTATGTAATGTTATTTTATAAACTACTAGCTTTTGCCCGCGACGTTGTCTGCATTAATTACAGAATAAGAAATGTATAGCTGACCAGGAAAACTGTTTCGCTTTAGAGGCAATAATTAAACAAATTTTGGTTTTTATTAGCAAATTTTTCAACCGAATTTAAAAGTATATATGTCCGTCTCTTGGTCCTTGTGTTATAAAGTGAATAATCGCCAGGACTGCGATCGAAGTTACAGGGCGGAGTCTCTCGTAGTAGAAGAACAAAGGGCACCCATTTTTACATCTAGCACTTTCCAAGTCTCTTTTTATATGAACGAATGAAATTATTTAGAAGTTTCAATTATGAAAAGTTAGGATTTCTCCTAAAATTATGCCGCATTTTGTATAGATTACATTATTGTTTTCAGAATCGCGGTTTATTAGTAGAAAAATAATTTAGGTATCATATGAATCGTCAAACAAAGACGGTTTTTATTTCTTTAACAAATTGAATAGATGCCTACACAGGCATTGTACACACAAGTATTGTTTGTTTGTCTTAAAAATAAATACACAAAAAAACATCTACGTAAACGTTTTTACTATTTTCTTTAATTAAAAAAAATAGAAAATAGAAACTTTAAAAAATAGAAACTTTAATTCGAGGTCACGTTTATTAGTTCATTTTGATCAATAAACCTCTTGAAGCTTCTATATCTTTTTTAGTATAGTCTGTGCACTCTCTGTTGTAAGTACTCTGTGATGTATGTCTCTATAACTATAATCTGTACTATGTAACTTATTCACCGTTATATGCATCTCTGTGGAGGCGGGATGTTGCACGCCTCCACAAAATCAATACAGATGGCGGCGCTAAATGTATTATCTCTGTGTTCATGTTGATTTGAAGTTTATTTACACGAAAACCAATTGGTGTTTTATTTTGAGCTGCAATCAAATTTACGGTTGAATTCCTTTGTTTTCTTTACGTATTTTTTCTTTTTGATTATATTTATTTAATAGGTATTATCTAAAAATAAGTCGTGTTTACGTTACGATAGGTAATCTTAAACGGATAAAAGGGTGTTATCGCATAAAGGGTAACTTTAGACTATTAGATTATCACATAAAATGACTTTGAGTTGTATAAAAAATGTTTATAACAAAAGAGTAAACATAAACAATTTATCGACAACATTGTCCCTAGCACGATACTGCGTCTTTAACCTTGACCCGTCAGTGTGAATGTTTCTCATTAAAAAATAATTTAACGTTTATTCTCAATTGAGAAGAATTGTTAGGTTGAATGGATAGAGGTAACTGTTACTTAAAAAAATATGAGCATTACTTTTTAGTATTTCTTTTTTAAGATCGTTCTAAGATACACACACACATGCACAGTTTTCTTCACGTATTAGTAAATAAAATGGAATCTAAGTAACATAAGTATGTCTAAATAATATTTTCGTGTTTAATTCAACACTCACTTTGTGTTTTAACCCAGACCTACTTGCGCATGTGTTATGTACGACGCTATTTATTCCTTTGTTGTCGCGGTTGAATCTCTAATAAGGTACTTCTTGTAATGTCTGTATTTTTAATATCGTATGGTAACGTGACTCGTGAGCATTATTTTTGTAGTAATAATAAATTTTTATTTTTATTGGTTTCTCATATATCTTCATCATCAAAAGATTGGTTTGATGCTGTAAAAATTATACTTGGAGTCCCAAAATACTTTTTACTATGGTAATTTTTTTTGGATAAATATTATTTTGAACGCGATTTGAACTTTTTACTTTTTTTAATGTGCGATTTATAAACATTATAACGAAATGAATATTCGCCGTATGGACTAAATTTGCTTTTATTTTGAGAATAATTAGTCCATAAATTTAATTATTGTATTAATTCATATTCAATATTTTTTTTTAAATGAAGAGAATAAAATCGGCTCTGAGTGATATTAAATGTGATTCATAGCACAAAAATAAAAATCTTTAATAATATTTGACTTAAATTTTATTACGCCTAACGAGTCACATTCTACGCATCTGTCAAAATATTTTTCCTTAAACTCGAGTCCAATCTATCTTTTAACTAGATCACTATAGCTTCAAGGACAAAGAATTTTTAAGGCGAATTAATTTTTGTATTAAATACTGCTTGGTTGGGAAAATAGTTTTTTTAAATTAAACATTTAGTGTTGTAATAGAATATTTTAAATTTGTATTTATTTTTATCAATGGTGTAGAGAGAATGCGGTTGAGCTTGTATTCGAATTTTAAAAATAACTGACCCGATATACATTCAGCATATTGTTGAGAAATTTGTTTTTTTAACCAACAGTCAAATGTTTCAAGAAAATCACTGCATAACTATGTTTTAGTACTTTAAAAAGTATTTAGGTACAAAGATTATATAAGGATGATTATTAAAGCTATATGGAAACCTTAAATAATAAAAAACCCATTTTGTGTCTAAATTTTCATGACTACGCTTTTTATGGTTTTGTTGTATATTTTTTATCAATTTAATACTTTTGTTTGTATCATCTTAATCTTGAATAATTATTATATAATTGTTATTATTGCATATCATTTTTTATACAGTTCTTTATAATTTTATGTAACATGCCATTTATATCATAGGGATTATTTTATCTGTGATAGGGCCAAAATAAAAAAATATGCATAATTTTTTTGATGGATTGTTTTTATCGTTGTTATTTAAATAACAATAATAATGGGTTGATTATGTATAGAAAAATACTTGATATATAGTAATTTAATGAAACAGCTATCTTTGATATTGAACTGTAACATGAAAATATTGTCTGTATAAATATATGTAGGTGTAGTTCGTTGTTGCTGAGTGCAGTCAAACGATAAGGTTACCGAAGGTGGGGAGTTGGTTGCCTCTCGGTTGCGACACCACATAATAAGTCATGCGTTCAGATACAACAATACTATACACTATGCGTGCATAACTCGCTTTCTGCTGCGCCATCGAAAGTTTTTTTTTTTGTTTTTAAAAAGTAATACACTACAAGCAGACGTTCGCTTGCGAGTTGCGCGCGCATTTAGTTCAGTCATACATGCGACGAGAGGCGGTTGACATTGCGGACTCGCTCCGCGGTAACACAAAACTGTGAGTATTATTACGTGTAATTAATGAAACATTTGTATCATAATTATTAATTAATATAACCGGTGTATAGTTTAGTGTTATGTGATGATAGTGTTAGGTTATGTGACAGTTACTACGCCGCACCAAATCGCTATACTAACGACGCAGTACGCTTTGTATCGCCGGTATTTTGTTGCTAACCGAGTTACAGCAACTGCGTATTTGTTGTCCAACAAAGTTGCATTTGAATTGCAATTTATTTTATAATTGTCTCATTCATATAAATTATATCTCCACATATGCAATTTATATTAATGTTTTGTTATTTTCACTTAGTTTTTTATTGTTTCAAAATTATTTGTAAAAAAATATGAATTAAATAGTAATCACCCTAAGTAATGATACCGATAGAAAAATCAATGTAATGAAAGTAGGAGTAATGCAATTATTATTGCATTACACTTTATAACCCATACCTTGCAATTTGCATTAAAAGAAATTGCGTCTTAACTGCATTCGAACAAATGCAATGATTATTTGATATCGATGTTTTTGATTTTGAATAAGCACGTATGTTTTTATTATGAATCATGTGTAGTGTAAGATTTATCAATTAAAATAAACCTAAATATATTTGTTATTTTTTTAGGCATATATATATTTTTCATATATTTAATACATATATTCCTATAAGGATTGAAATACGACATTCAAAATAGGCTTTTAATTTATCTTCATTTTACGTATAACTATCCTTGTTATGAGTAATGATTTAATAAAGCTTACTTAATTTAAATCCTTTTTCAAGCGAGCCAATTAAAAAATCCATATTAAATATATGGAATTCTGGTATATATAATATATGTATATGATATATATTAGTGCTTCCACAACACGTATATCTAGCTAGTAATCTAGGTAGTCGGGTTGGCCTGCGCGCGCATGTCTAGGTACAAAGATTTATATCCAGGGCTTTGCATCTGCACCTACATGACCCCACCCTAGGTCCAGAAATCAATATAGCTCGGGAACTGTACAATTCATACTAGTTAATGCTTGCATATTGACGTGTTGACGGTACTTGTATGGTGAGTTTAAAATCTCAACGCATAATATTGTACATATTCATACATTAAGAAGATTTTCTGTTGTTTTTTTGTATGCAGTACTTTTGTTGTTAGAATTTTAATGATTTATATTCGCGGTCTTACCTAATATTGGTGAAGGCTAAATTGATTTAAGCTTTTAATTCTTTTCTATTCGTGTTTCGTAATATTTGTACATATTTAATATCAATGAGCTGTTTATTTTCAAGCTGATTGTACGTTTTTTTTATTGTTTACGTATGCTTGTAATTTTAATGCGAATTATGTCGTAGGAGAATTGTTTTCAACGAAAACGCTTATCGTGCTTACAAAGGCATTGTCACTAGTAAGTGTTTTTGACGCACTTAAATTTTTATTACTATTATTACTTAATATGGTATTACTTTCGTATACGGTGTATCGTGTCGTAAGAAGAACAAAGAATTTTAACCTTAGTACATGTTACTTTTGGTGGTTCACCTACAAACCGACAGTTTATTATTTTTTTTTTTTATGTCGATACAATATATAGTAATTAACTATCTTGAAACGGCCAATGTTTAGTTTAAAGATGGGAACCGGTAGTAAGTTTATAAAACCGCTTAGGATTAAGATGCTACCAAAAGACTGTCACAAATGTATAGATCATTATTAACTTAACCGTCTTTATTCTGATAATTTTTATTGAATAATTTATAACAATAATAATAAGATTATGACTTAAACGCTGTATTCTCTTGTTCAAAAACAAATATGTAGCTTTATCTTTGAGAGAAGTGCATACTCTACGTAAATTATTCTTAGTATTTTTATTCTATTTTTTCGTGCAATTTGTTCAAATTGACGAATATTTAGTTATTTGAAGAATTATTTATGACAAATGATTGACCATAGAGTTTTAAGCATTTGCAATAACAATGTTTTTGTATTTATTTTCTTCATAGCAATATTAATTGTTATTAAAATTATGTAGTGTAATAATTATGCAAAAGTTTAATATCAAAGCAACTTTTTTAGTACTCAAATTTGTTCACGCTCGCTTGATTTGGACCGTATGCGAGAGCGTTACGAAAAGTTGAGAGAGATTATTAGAATATCAAGATATGTAGAAAGAGACAGATAGATTTCGTAACAGGAGAGTTACGGGCATACATATTATTTATTTTACTCTTTCTTCGATAACGTGTACACTGTACAATGTACATATCGATAAAATCTCAAAAGTTTCGTATTTTCATGATTCTGTCTAGGCCCATTGTCACACTGTCGAAGAAGTGAGGGAGTGCGCACGCGCATCTCCCTTTCCTCCCCCTATCATGATATACATATTATTTGTCATAAGTAAATATACCTACATAATATAAATTTCAGCGTCTTCGTTTCGATAATTTCTATGTTTAATAGTATATATTATTATTTGTGTTTATCTTGGTATAGGGAACTATGTATTTTCCTGTCCTGCGTCTATGTGTGGTGTGTATTTGTAACTGAATATAAACTTAAATGTACGTTAGGATAAAGATATGAATTACTATTATTATCATGGATTCCGTTTGTTTGTTGAACAACTATCCGCTTAAATTTTAAGTGATTAGTAGATTTTAATATAAAGCAATCAAAATACCTTTTATTTTCTACCAATAGTTTCTATAATAACTGAAATTATCTATATAAAACGAGGTAGTAATTTCATTTTATATATTTTTTGAAAAACCTACGCGTTAATTATCGTTTAGCGACTTAATAGCGTGAGGAAATTAATGAAGTTATCTTACGGCAAAAACGCTTTAAATAGTTGCTTATAGGCGGTTGACCCTGCACTGGATAGTAAGGTTTATATTTTAGAATCAGAAGTATTTTCAATTAACATAGAATCTTATATTTTCCCGACCTTTATTCATTTATATGAACTAAAAATTTTCGGATATCGGTTTATTTTTGTGAATAAATTACGTACTATACGGTTGCTGTAAAAGTAGCCGAAACGTTGGGAGTATAGAGTTTTTTCATAAAAATAAACCGCCTAGTATATCTGAAAAATATTAGTTTCATTTAAATGAACATAGAATCTTTGTTAATCATTTTAATTTATTTACTTTAAATGAAAATTCTGAAGGAAATTAGTTCTTTAATATATTACTAATTATGTATATTATATTATTTACTTATAATACTTAATTATACTTTTATTTAGAACCATATAAGAATCATGATATGCGAAATTCTATTATACATAAATATAATACATTACAGATTTCTTGTTCTTTCTTTCGTCTTATTATAAGTGTTAAATGATTTAAATCTGGTTCAAATAGTCGGTCACCTGTAATAAAATGGTAATACGAGTACAAGTGGTCAGTTTGGCAAACGTTGGACCAAAATTCATGTTATATTTAGAGTAAGTGATAATGACTTCGGACGCCTTTAAATAGATACTGTCAGAAGTGACACGAATAATCTTAAATATTTCAGATACATACAGCATTTTTTAATTAGTTTTTTTTATGAGTTTACCTTGGATGCTTGAGATCATACTTCGTACATACATAGGGTACATGCACCGATATTTTTTTTGCAAAATTGTTTTCTGTCTGTCTGTTTGTTCCGTGTAATCTCTAAAACGGCTGGACTAATTTTGATTACTTACCTAATGTAAGAAAGATTGACTTAGGATACTTTTTATCCTGATATTTCATTTAAATATTTGGTATTTCGTATCGAATTTAAATTCGAATTATTAAAAAACTTGAATATTGTGCATGTGCAATTGATATCCCTATCATCTTAATGATCTATATATTAAATCCAATGAAAGATTTATTCTAACCTCTTCTAACCTCCGCCTTTGGAAGTCATTAAATAAACTCCTCTTCATCAAAACTATATCTGATCATCATGATAAATGAGACATAAGACATTCGCGAGTATCCATTTAAATGAAACTAATGTTTTTTCCGGTTACTACTGAATCAAATCCGAAAGACATTCGTTTCATTATGGTATTTTTCATCCTATCATGTAGTAATATCAGTTGATATCATTGTCAGGAGTCGCTTGGCGTGTTCGGCTCGTCAGGGGCGGGCGTGGTGACGGGCGAGCGGCGTGAGAGCGGCAAGCGTGGTCGCAGGCCGGGCAGGAAGGCTCAGCTAGACAAACAGGACATGAAGGCTAAACTGGGTAAGAATCTTATTATCATCATCAAACCGTCTTGAGTAAGTGTGGTGATTAATGCTCCAACCTTCTCCATGTGAGGAGAGGCGTTAGCTCAGCAGTGGGCTCTGATAGGCTGATGATGATGATGAAACTTATATAAGAGACGATTATGTTTATATCAAATATGTGCGATCTTAGACCAGCGAGTCTTCATTAAAATAAAACTATGTTCGTTGAATTTACTACGCGATTTTTATTATTTAAACTACATACTCCCGACGTTTCGGTTACTTTGCAGCAACCGTGATCATGGACAGACGAGATGCGATCACGGTTGTTACTGTCACTTGTTACTTAGTAAATTCAACAATATCAGTTATATTTCATTAACTGCCTATTCTGAAATACTAACGGAACCTAGAAACATATTTTTAATGCTATCTTATGAAGGATGCTTTATAACTATGTTTAAGCATAGCATTCTATTGATGACGTAATAAGTATACATTTAAATGAAAGCCTATTATAATATTTAAATACAAAATAAAATACGATTTTTTTCTCCCTCCTTAAATTTTATTTCGTTTGTGTATCTGTTAGAATGCAATACTACCCGTCTTCTCTTGTTACGTATCGAATATTCCAGCAACATACCTATTATAAGTTCATATAACTAAGTCAGTTATTCTAGTATTAATATAATCAGTTGCCACATCAGAACGCAGTCGTCAGTCAGCTCGGGAGTGCAGAGCTCGTAAGAAGCTCCGCTACCAGTACCTCGAGGAGTTGGTCGCTGATAGAGAGAGGTCGGTACTGGCGCTGAGGAAGGAACTTGATAAGGTGAGCAACACATATAATGTAAAGTAGCCTATGTGTTATTCGTGGACGTCAGCTTCCTGTATACAAAATTTTATTAAAATCGGTTCAGCCGTTTGAGCGTGAAGAAGTAACAAACATACACACACTCTCACAAACTTTCGCAATTATAATATTATATAAGATATTTTACACTTGGCTAGTAACTGTACAAGATATTACACTTGGTTTATTTTGTCTTTTGTTGTTAGTCCAAATATATTTTTTATGCTGTTAGCTAGAAAGAGCACGTTATTTTTTAATATTAAATATAATTATCGTGATATTCACGTAATCTTTAGCTCTGGTCAGTTACTATAGCTCGAACATGGGCTGGCCCGATTGGGGAAGTACCACCTTCTCATAGAAGATCGGCGTGAAGTGGCCTTTAATGGCTGCGTTTCGTCCGATAAGGGAGAGAGCCGGTTGGCCCTTTCCCTATTCCCACTCTTTTCTACCATTGCCTTATTCCTACCCCTCCCTATCGCTAAAAAACAAGGTTGGCAACGCATCAACAACAAAGATGTTGCGGATGTCAATGGGCGACGATGGCTACCTACCATCTAGTAGGCCGTCAGCTCGTTTGCCACCTTTGTCATAAAAAAATGTGACAACAAATTTATTGATTAGAATTTATAGATTTTGTTATTCTGTTTGTCAACAGAGACATATAATGGATTTTTCGATCCTCTTATAAGTGGTTATTTCTGTATTTATTTGAATTTACAATTTTATTCCTTGACGTAGGATAAAATACTTTTTTTTATTCTGTAATTTATGTGTCTTATCACAACGAGATCTTTAAATTTGACGAAGACTTCACTTTCCAATAAATTTTTATGAAAAAATGCGTAGTCTTAGTTTACATCGTCACACTATATACGTAGCGTCAATAGTTTTCATTCATAAACGTCGCACATTATAGTATTGACTTAAGATATTTAATACAATACGGGAACCATTTCTTATGTAGTGTGACCATTCAAACTTGGTTCAAGAATAATGTATTTTAATTATGGCTATAATGAATTAAGAAAACAATAACATACTTTCCAGTTAAGTTAAATTAAATAAAGTAGAATAAAAAAAGTAACACAAACAAGATTCGAACTTGCGACTTCCAAGATATCACATCCTAGTTGCTTTTACATTTGAGCTACTTGCACTCACTCAATGGGTGCGAATTGGACGTTTTATATTTAAAACTATGAAGTAGTAATAATAATAATAATTATTAATTGTAACTTAATATTTTATTTATAATTCCAGTACTATAAATGGAATCTGGAATTGGATCAAGGTCGTATGCCCGAAGGTTTGGACCTACTGCTCCAAGAGATGGGCGTGGTGAAAGAGGAGGTCAAGATATAAATTAAGGTACTCTAATAACATATATATGTATTATATATAATATCTATACATATACTCAACAAAACATTGAAGAATTTGGCATTAAAGATCAAAAATTAAACAGTATGAAGAAAAAAACATATATTTTTTATTTTAAGCTGTCAAAATTATATGTGACCTTCGGCAAAATGAAAAATTTTCTAAACCTTATATTCGAATATGAAAAAAATACTAAATTTAATTTCTGATACCTTTCTATGAGGTTATATTTTTGTATGAATATTTCTTAGTATTTATCATCTTTTGTAATACATTTTTCATTTACTACATTAGTTATAAAATTCTTATAATCTTTGTAATAATATAATCTTCTAGAAGTGTCTTTTAAATAAACTTATATACTACATATAATCCGATCATATTCTATTTCTTTGTTATATATGGTTAGATTTATTTTGTATGACGTTTAAACATAAAAAATGGGTGTAGTTATTAAGTTTGTCATTAAAATATGTTCGAATTTATATTTAATTAAGCTTATACTAAAAATAACAGTGGAATAATCTTAAAATATGAAGTCTCTGTATTATTTTATATATAATACTTTTTGTAATACTGTAGAGTTATTAATCTACCAGATATACTTTGGTCTGCTTTAATATTAAGGTCTTGATAACTGGGCACGCTATTCCTTTTGAGCTCTGTGACATTATTATCAACTTATGTGATTAAAAAATACACTGGAATAAAGTGTCCACGGTAGGCGCAGACTAGAGTTGAAATTAAATCAAATTTATGCTAAATCATTAAAAGCTTTTCCGAAAACAAAGCAAAAAAATAACTATTAATAGAAAAAAATTAAGTCATACTAACCTAGTTATAAATGGAGAAAGTCGGGTGCTTAATATATAAAAAATAGTTGTATATATTTTTAGAGATTTATCTCATAATGCTTACTCGTCAACTGAGTGATAAAAATTAGTTGGTAGATAGGTGACATTTGATGTGGCTTGGATAAAATATGTATATATATACAATTATACAAATCACATTAAATAGTTGAAATAGATATATAAGTTTATACTAAGATAATAAAAGCTATATATTTGCAATATTAAAATATTGAACCCGGACCCTTTAGTTAATTTTGCCACCCATTTAACAATTGAGCTATAACGTTCCATGGGATTAAATATTGTAAATATTTAGTTTTTGTTTACATTAAAATTAAGTTATGTAAATATGAAATAATGAGTCATAAATACTACCAACAAAACCGATTAGAATGTAAATACAGCTTTTTACCTCCAATAGACTATATTTAAATTAATGTTTTTCTCTTATATAATAAACAGTGCTAGTATATATACATTATCAGTGCACATAGAAATTTTACATCAAAATCGTCTTTGTTATGTATGCTAGGTTAGGTAATGCAAAATAACTTATTACGGTTGATGTCTTTATATTAACAAATCAAGTCTGGCCAACGAGATTTTTTGGGCATTAAATTCAGTACAAATATAAAATCATCAATAATATTTATGTTCAACAAATAAACTTTGAAATAATAAAAAAAATATGAAATTCTCTTGAAATATTTAGACAATCGATAGATTATTTTCCTATTGAGAATCCACTAATTAATACAACCTGCTATAATTTAAAATCTAACATCGAAACACAATCAGTATGTTTACGAAATTTATCTTGATTCGTTGGCATTACCATCGCTTTTTATTTTAAATTTATAAATAAGTTGTATCCATTTTTTCAGTAACATTTAATTTTTATGTACCTCATATAATTCAATATTAAACTCTGAAGGTATATTAATAAGTGTCAAAAAGTTACAGTATATACATCAAAAGTAAATTTTACCAATGCAACAATAAATTCTTTATCTTGTTGGTGTGGACGTTATTCAAATTAATAAGAACAGTACTAGCCGCAACAAGTTATAGGATTTTATTGAATGTTGAAGAACTAATTTTAAATTTACTGTCAACAGAAGACACTTCTTAATACCTTAAGATATTTAATTGTTTTCTACAAAATTTTCATTCCAATGAAACATATTTAGGATGTGAAAATTAGTTTTCATATACAGAGACGAAACCTCTTAGCATTCAATGGAATCACCGTCCGGGTGCCGGGTCCATCATTGTACGGAGAGGAGCTTCAACAGTGCCTGGGACTTGCGACCCAGGTGTAGGTTTAAGGAGCTCCTATCTAATTCGCGTTAAACGCTCACCTCCACCGTCCAAGCTCCTCTCTCTACCTAACCAAATTTGAAACGAACTTACTAGGACTCCGTTTGAAGTGCGTTCCAAGAATTAATTGATTTTAGGTCTGGGCAGGCTAAATCTTTTAGCAGGTTATAGAGAGATTTAGCTGTTATACCTCTCGCACCTATTTCTACCGCGTATAAATCCACGCCGAACCTATTCCTAGTGAGTTCGTTAGTGAGCTCGTAATATTTACTGACCTTGATGACACGGTCTTCGGAGATGTAGGTTTCCCAAGTTTAATAACGAGTTTTATTATTTTGCGAATACATAATTATGTCTGGCCTGGACGCCGATTCACAAATATCCTCTGGATTTTTGTGTTGTTTTTTATACGTATACATCATCATAGTCCTATCTGGAGCCGCTTTACGGATATAACATTTAGTCGATTGTATTGTTGGAATTTGAATTTGTCATCAGCCTTTCAGAGCCCATTGCTGAATAAAGACCTCTTCCCACATGGAGAAGGTTTGAGCATTAATCACCACGCTTGTTCAAGACGGGTTGGTGATTTCAAACTTATAATTGTGAAATTATAAGTCCAGGTTTCCCAGTGGCGTCTAAATACTCTAAGAAAGTACATATGACTCGGAAAAATCACATCAGTACTTGCCAGGATCGTATCCGCACCCTGATGCATGAGAGGCGGGCCTGAAACCACTAGGCCACCACTGACGAACAATGAATTTGAATGTAAATTAATAACAACTTGACTAATGAAAACTTATCGTCTTTCATCAGATTACTTTAATAAAGAAAATTCCGTAAGTTTTTATGTTCTGTATCGAGGTCTAAATCTAATGGGTCATGTAGACTAGTACTTTATTAAAATTAAAAAAAAAACACTATATTGTAAATTCTTCGACACGCACAATTATAAAATTATTACATTTATTAAGAAAAGTATATTTTTTACAGAAATAATTAGTATTATAATATTGGAATATTTTTTTTTAGTTCGTTCGGTAGATTTTCGGTATTTTTTTTTGTTTAGTTTTAAGTATGTATGATTAAATTTTTTGTTGTACTTCCTGCGTTCAATTATTAGTTTTAATGATTTTTTTATTAACGAGCAATAATCTCGACTACCTTTTAGTTTTATTACAATTTAAATAACTTTTTTTTGTAACCGGGAAGGGTTTTTTAAATGTACTTAAACAAATATTTGGTTCTATTCAAAAATCATATGAAGTATAAAATTTTATTTCAAATAAACTACCAGTTTATTAGTTATATTACAAACAAAGCAAAAAAAAAAATAACACATTTTTCTGTTTTTTTTTTTTTTAACAAAATTATCCTTAAAATTATTTTTTTTGTACTAAAACTAAAAGGTTAGTGGAGATGTAAATTTTTTTACGTGTTTCATAGTCGTGATACTAACATTTAGTTTATTTAATGATTGTTTTAAAACTATTGTCGGCTATCCGCCTTTAATTTATATTTTAATTAAAAAAAACTTAATATATGTATATATAATATATATTAGGTCCTTGTACAATATTTTATTCCAATGATTAGTGTAGTGCTACATAATATAAAACTTTTTCATTAAATTTTTTTATAGCTTGTAAATATAAGAAATATTTTTGTCTGATCCATTGACAATACATGATAAGAATTTCATCTATATCGTCTTAGTTGTTAGGGCATGAGTGAAATATATAAATAAGTCTCATATATAAAAAATAATAGCCATTAGATACATATATTATTATATATAATACATAAATATTGTGTAAAAAAATATTAATCCCTACTAATATTATAAATGCGAAAGTAACTCTGTCTGTCTGTCTGTCTGTCTGTCTGTCTGTCTGTCTGCTACGCTTTCACGCCTAAACCACTGAACTGATTTTAATGAAATTCGGTACAGAGATAGAGTTGACCTTGAGAAAGAACATAGGATAGTTTTTATCCCAGACTTTTGAAAGGTTCTCTTGGAAACGCGATATAACCGAACTCCACGCGGCGAAGCTGCGGGCGGAAAGCTAGTACTTAATATATGATGATTGAATAATGAGTATTTTATCTATAATATTTAACAGTATAAAAATATTTTTATACTGTTATCATAGACAATGCTCACTTCATATTTTATAGAGTATATTTTTTTTTTCATGTAAAACCTCTTTAAAGTTTTTTAATCTATGTATTTATATCTTGTCAAATACATATGTACTGTTGTTATATTTCTTTATTTTTTTATAATATATTTATATTCCATGATGGATAATCATCATCATCATCACAGACATCACCTCAATAATGTAGTTTTATAATATGTAGGTATGTAATTAAATAAAAATTCTCATATAAGTGGAAATTTTAATAATTAATTGCTACAGAAATATGTACAGAAAAAGTATGTAATGTATGTATATACAACTTTGGTTTTACAATTAGGTGCTTGAGTATCAAATGATTGCTTATATATTGCCATATATTTGAATGGAATTAGTGCTATATAAGATATGTTTCATAATAATAAGATTTCATAGTTGATTAATATGCTTTAACCTTTATATTGGAATGTAATCCAAGATTTTACCCATCAATTTAGTTCGAAACAAAATTTTTGGTCTCATTCTTATTTTTGGCTGAATATTGGTGTTAATGATCAGGTTCCAACTTTACCATTACATATATTGAGTTGAGTTACCTTTATTTACACCATAGTATTGTCAAACCCTTTGTTATTAACCACAAATTTAAAGAAGTGTATTTAAT